TATATATATATATATATATATACAAATAAAATATTTAATATTTTATTTTACATTTTTTTATTTATACAAGCTCCAAATAGAGATTGTTAAAACATTAAATTGAATATTAACGTTTATCTAACAAACATGTGTCTGTAATTATTTTGACAATTCTTTTAGCATTCCCTTTAAATTGGTGTAAGTATTCCCCACAACTGTGTAAAAACCTGATGTGAACCACTGAATGCTGTTTATGTGCTCTCACTAAGAAAATATTTGAACTTTAAAAATATAGTACACAGGGTTATTTTGTAAATACCATCACCACAATTTTAAATAGAAAAACATAATATTTCACAGATCACACATTGGTCAATTTAAAAATTGTTTAATCCTGATTTCAATACAGGGTATCTGCAGGGACTTAAGAGTCTTTCTTTAACGGGTCTTAATGTTCCTTTGTTTATGTATAGCTACCCAATCTGGCCATTTACATCCATACAATTACCAACAATTCATCTTAATAAAACGTTTAACTTTTTATTTACAAATAGCATTTAGTTGCGTTCCTTACAGTAACATTTGTTTAAAAATTCTCCATTTATTTAGTACGGAGGATACTGACCTTGCCTCTATACTTTTTATTATGAAAATATTATTATTGTATTATTAAATATTAAATTATAAATGTTTTTGATTGGGCAAGTGAAAATCTTTTTTTTTTAACTGGTATATTTAAAAACAAGCATTTAGCCTTGTATAAGTCTAAAATTTAATTCATAATGCTACTAAAATATCTTAGAAAGTCTTAAATTTAACTTGGTGAAACCTGCAGAAACTCTGCAATAGTGCCTGCCATGTGCTCTTTGCATTTATGTTTGCAAGTTGCCTTATTGCTAAAAAGTAGTAAGTCTGTCAATTATGTCACCATTGCTCATTAAGGGTAACAGTGTTGATAATAGATAATGGTACACACATTACCTAATTTGTTAATAACAGGTAACAAACTATACGTTTGTTTTCCTTAAAAATAAAAAAAAAGTTGTTTGGCAAGCACTGACATATTAAATATAGTGGAAATAATTGTTCTTTCCTCAACTTTTTAAAATGCCAAATTATAGAATCGTCATATGTTACAGTATTTAATACATTAAAATGCTAAAACTAAACTCTTCATAAAATCAGCGAGCCAATTATTCCTTCCTACAAGCAAATAATCAAAGCAATAGAAACAGACAGCTGATATAAGGCAAACACTTACGTGCTATATAGGATACCCTTCCTTGTCTTATTAAGGAGACCGCTTCTCCGGAGTCTGGAGATGGAGACTGGTTAACTCGTTTAATTCCTTTCCGCTTTTATAACTGCAAAACCCTGAAATACGCGGAGGGATGGTGCGAATCAAAACACACTCTGCATAAAGAGCGCGAAGCACACATGTTGTATGTCATTGATGTGTGGGCGGAAGTGCAAAAGACACGCTTAACAGTTTAAAGACAGTTCATCATCTAAGCCAGTGGTTCTCAAACTGTGGTACGTGTACCAATAGTGGTACGCAGGCTTCCTTCTAGTGGTACGCGGAGATATCAAATGTGTCATACAGTATTTATATGCTCCATATATTTCAAAATTTATCAAAAATGATTTATATATCAATATGACATATAATAATATTTATTATATAACATGTAGCCTATATTTCTGATGTCATGATGAGGCAACATTTCCAGGTGTTCATGAATTGGCTACTATATATTAATACTTTACATTTCAGTATAGCAATTTTCTTTTTACTTTTTACGAACATTAACCTACCATTTTTAACTTTTTAAAAGCACATTTTAATTTTAAATGTTGACATTTTTAGTTAGTTAGTTTTTTTTTTACATATAAGCACAGTACACTACAGTGTTAACGTTCAGACTATTTATAATGTTTAAAATGGCTGACAATAATAAATATTCTTAATAATAGGAATTAATCTGCCAAGTTTTAGAACTGTGCAGAGCTGTAGCTGCTTTACTAGGCTTAGTACGCCACTGTATTTTAATATTGCTCATTATGGTGGTACTTGGAGAGACACATTTTTTTCTGAGGTGGTACTTGATGAAAAAAATTTGAGAACCACTGATCTAAGCTATAAAACAATCGTTTATCCTGATTTAAACGCATTGCAGTATAGCTAAAAACCATGGTTTTAACAGCTACCATAGTAACCACAAAATTAACAATACTTTTAGCCTATTTATAATTTTGTGTTGTCGCAGACATTATTCCATAACTTCTGTTAAATTTATCTAATACAGCCTGCTTTGATTTTGTGGTTTCTACTGTTATAATTACTGTTTGCAGTAGGCTTACTAATATTACTATAGCAAATAATAAAAAACATAAACATAAAAATTGGTTACTATTATAGTGTTATCATTGTATTACAATATTACTCAAGGGCATAGAATTAGCGTGGACGGAGGAGACATGTCCCCTCCAATTACCAAAATGTCCACACCAATAATTTAATCGCCTTTAAAATAAAATAATGCTTTGTCAACCCTTACTCTGCTCAAAGCATTAAATCCATAGACATATATAAAAGATGATATGGAGAAAATGCTTGAATTGCGTCACGTCTCTGTAAATTTCTGTTTATTTCTTTCTCTTTAAATCCAGATTGCAGTAAAATCATGTAAATTGACTTTTTGCAGCAAATAAGACATGCATCATTAATTGTTATTTGTATTATTAAGTGTTTAAAACCTTTATTTATGTTTTTAAAAGCACGAAACAGAATTTGTGCTGCGTTCGAATGCAAGTCCCCACCAATATCAAGAGCAAATCTGTGCCCTTGATATTATTATAGTAAAGTGATGGCCTCAAAAAAAGTTTTAGCATTAATATTAAAGTTTTTAAACCGTATAAAAACAGTATGCACAAAAAAAAAGATTACCCATAGAATTATAAGGTTCTGACATTTTTGTCAAAATTAAGTTACTGACATATTCTTATTAAATGACAACTCATTTACATTATGTGATGTTTTATAGGTTGTTTACATTTCAAGAATTTTTATTTACAAAACAAATGTTACACACATACTGTTTACTCTATGGAATGCAAAATTTTGAAACTCAATATCTCAAAATATTTCAGAATGCAGACAGACCTTTAAAATTCCAAGGTGACAATATTTACTAGTTTTACTACAGTTAAACCATGAAAAAATTTCATAAGGAATGACTTTATCACTTGATAACTTCAGAATATTCAGATTAATTGTTATACATGCCATTGATCTGTCCTTTCCTTTCAACTTCATACTTAGTGATAATATCTTTATTTGAGACATTTATTGAGTCAATAAAAGACGGGTTAGCATAGTCACTAATGTCTCTTACACAACAACAACAAAAGATTCAGACTCTGCTATGGGTATTTTACTCTTTCAGGCGTCACTTTACAATTGCCAAATTGATAATATTAGTATAGTGATGAGAAATACAAATGTATTGTTTTCTAATTACCACAGTATCAATGTAATGCAATGCAAATGTAACGGAGGCCAACTAGTGTGTGCTGTGCAGGTAAACCTCACTCCTCTGACCTCTAAAGGTGCTCTAGCGACTGACTAGAGGCCATGGTCTTTAGCCTCGTTAGTAGAGCAACCTACTCCCATGCGAAAGGTTGCTGGTTCGATATCAGCTCGGAGCGGGTTGGGTGGTGTAGGACCGGCGGGGTTACACAAACAACAACAAAATCCTATTGAAAACAATTCAAAACACACTGATCATCATGTTATATGTGCAAATGCAATAGAAAAACAAATGTAGATGCTCCAGGCACTACTGTACAATTACTCTGCAAGCTACATAATTGTAAGAGTTTGGGTACCCGTAGATGTTCATACTATATGTGCCTAGAGTGCAAGCCTGTTATGCTGGTGCATTTGGAATAAAAAATAAGTATTGCACTGTTATCTACAAGACTCTTTGAACCACAGTATTAGAATTATGGCTTAATCTTTTTCTCCCCTTTTTAGATTTCTAATCAAGTTACGTCTGATTTATTAATGTAGTGAATCATCTGATTTTCATTGAGCAGGTGTATTATTCATTAATATTAATTATTTAAATTCTTATTTTCACTAAGGTGCTGATTCGGGGTCCAATGATAGTTACATCATCATTAACCTGCAGGCTGCATTTTGCTCACAGGGCTGCAAGAAAATAAATAAAAAGAGTGGAGCTGTGGCAAAATAATGAATAAAAAGAGTGAGGCTGTGGTCAAATAAATAAATAAATAAAAAAGTGCGACTGCTGAGAGTGCAAGCAGCTAGGGACACCGGCCCTCGTGGTCAAAAAACTTCTCCCGATCCTCCCGATTAGCCAATCCGGGCCTAATGAGAAGACATTATAAGTAAAACTCTTAAAAGTGAGTAAATGATGAATAAATAATTTTTGGATGAGCTATGTCTTTAAGGACATGTCATAGCACCCATAATAACCCATAGATTGATCATTACACTTTGACACATAAGAAAAGGGAAACACAAGTTGTAATAAGGGAAGAAGTACCAAGCGACTTACTTTCTGCAACTATTAAAGAACTGCAATCCAGAAATGAATAAAATGAAGAAATCATGTTATATTTGGCAGCTCCATCAAGGGTTGTATGCCAAATGCTGTTTTTGCTTGGAGAAAATTGCTTTGTAACTTTAGCCATGCGTTACTTCATCCTACGCACTCCCTGCTTATTAAGTTAAAATATTAACTTTTCATTCCTTTTTAAAATAGTCTTTTGTGGCTAAACAAACACAAACACTAATCCATTTACTGATTTGATCAAGTGATACATTTAAATCATCTAAACTAAAATTGACAATGCATTTTTATGATGGTGTAATGCCTTTAATTTGCCTTTAGTTAGTGCAGTATATTTAAACCATTAACCTAAAATAAAATACAACTAAATAGTTAATGTTAAACCTAATTGTTGTATTAGAAAAAAATCTATTTATATAGCTGTGTCTACAATGATTGAATAAACCCTTCAGTCTTGAACAAACTCTTCTGCTTTAGGTTCACTTTCTCATTCAGACATGAGGTCTGCTGCAGGAAATATGTCCGCTGTTAAAGTGAAGACCTTTCCAAATATTAAAGCATTAATCTAAACAATAGATAAGCCGACAGCTGGGTTATTTTGATTGACTTTTCTCTGGGCTCATCATTTACCTTGGATTAATATTTGAATTTTAGTTTTCATATGCTCTATAAACTGTGGGTTAGAGTCTTTGACATCTGTATCACAGACAAACACAAGACTTCAACATCATCAAATTGAATACACTCTGTTTGCTTTATTAAGTTGATCTTGTTGGGTAATGGATCGGTTTGCACCTAATTTTTTTTGTGATCAATAATTTGTGAAATAAATTCAGCTGGAAGCGACCATCCAAAGGGTGCAGAGTCTCTCACGGCTGGAGCCTACACTGCTGTGGTCCAGTTTGCCTCCACCTTGCATGCTATGGCCACCTGCCAGGGCTACCAAGCAAAGACACTGGCCAAGCTGTGTGACAGTAGTTCCCCCTTAGGTACTTTGCATGAGCTCCGCATGGTGACCAAGTTCTTATGGCCACAACACTTTGCTATGTACTGCAGATGTATACCATAAATGTTTAAATAAAAACATAATTAACTGAAATATCAAATAATGTGACTACTGATGAGCAGTAAAGCATTATTGTGGTTTTCCCAAGTAGACATCATCCATTATTCAGACCATCTGAATAATTTTTCCCTTCACATGCTTCTGGGGCTTTATTTAAATGTACATTTTACTGCAATATCACTATAAAACCTAAACAGCATCCACATTTACAGTACATACATTTTGGGTCCTGTTCACTTCATGTCAAAATATCACTTACACAATGTTCTATTGTTTATCTTTGTAAACACAGAGAAGGTTCTGGAAGCAGACACAATGTAATATCAGACAAATGCTGGCTGAGTTGCTTTTAATGGGCACACCTTTTGGAAACCAGTCTAAATGCCAAATGAGCTTTGGAAAATAATTATAGTTAAATGTGTTTTTTTTATCATTGGCAATTAAAAACAGAAAACTTTTTTGGTAAAAGTCACAACAACCTTAATAAGTTCTCTGAAACATAATAGTTGGGGTTTCTAGTTCTGATGCTGCTACCCATAAATAAATGTATTATTAATTTGTGTGCCAACATTGAAGTGTTTCTTCTTTTCATTAGTAAAATCAAAAGGTCCATCAGCTGGGTGGTGCAGACTAGTGTGCAGGCATGAATTTTATCAGTTGTTTTGTTCAGTGTGAAAGAACAATTTGTTGCCGATTTACTACACTTTATCATATCACACTCAGTGTAAAAAGACTTTTATCATTGAATAAAGCATTAAGTTTACGGTAGCAATTAATTATTTTAAAAGGATTGTTCTCAAAAAACTTGTTGAATATATCTAATTTAAGTTCAAGAGTTCACACTTAGCTGATGATTGATTATAAAGCTTATATGGCATATATTTGGTATAAGCATTTCTATGGTGCCGATTTGAATTAGTCAATTCACTTAAGTTGCATGTTTTTGGACAGTGGAAGGAAACCTGGGGGA